AACATGAATAGAGACGTTAATAAATTGGAGTAAAGAATGCATATCGTGTCAGAAAGTCAAAGTTCAACGTCATCTAAACACAGTATCTAAATAAGTGATATTTCCATCCAGTGAGCGTTTCGAACACGTCCACGTAGACATAGTTGGTCCTTTACCTACTTCAAGCGAGGGATATAGATATTTAGTCACTATGATAAATAGATTTCCGCGATGGCCAGAAACCATTCCAGTAAACGAGATCACCGCAGAGGTAAAAAGTAAAGCTATTTACGAAAATTGGATATGCAGATTTGGTTGTCCGAAGGAAATTACTAGCGATCAAGGTAGACAATTCGAAAGTGAGCTGTATGCGGCACTTATGAAAATGTTAGGTATTAAAAAAATTCGTACTACAAGTTATCATCCGCAAAGCAATGGGATGATAGAAAGGGTCCACAGATCACTAAAGGTAGCATTAAAGATACTTTTATTAGATAATGGTACCCCGTGGGCACACGAATTACCAACGGTAATGTTGGGACTTCGCGCAGCCTTAAAAGCGATAACAACGTAAGTGCAGCAGAGATGACATTAGGACACACATTACGTTTACCAGGAGATTTTTACGAAAATAGTTTAAGTTTAAAAGTGAAGGACGAACCAAGTTATGTAAGTAAAATAAGACAGGTATTAAATAGTTTACGTCCACAGCCTAGAGAGAATAGGGATAACAGAAAATTTTTTGTACATAAGGATTTGGAAAATTGTAGTCATGTTTTTGTCAGGAATGACATGGTATCGAAGCCGGTAACACCCACATACAGTGGTCCATACAAAGTCATTAGTAGATCACCCAAATCATTCGTAATAAGGATAGCAGAACGCCAGTCTAACGTTTCTATTGAGAGATTGAAACCAGCCTATGTAGGTACACAACGACAAAAGGAGATTGGTCAAATTGGCCTAAATGCAAATAAAATATTGACATATACAGTAATTCTTGGCGTAATTTATACTTTATACAGTCATTAGATTTTAACGGCCACCTTTAAATAATATATTAATTTTAAAAAAGGACTTCTATTTTTACCGGTTTGGAAAACATACGAATCATTTTTATTGGCTATGGGTGTAGTAACATTCACAAAGACTGATCGAGGTTGTTTATATAACATCAAAACAAATCTATTTTGTAAAGATTGATAAAACATTTTTTTTTTTTATTACACGGGTGGTATTAATATCCACAACTTTATTATCATTTTTACTACATGCAAATGTGCTAAGACAATTAATATAGATGGTAGGCGACATCATAAAGTCTATTGCCGTACATTTTTTGCCAAACACCTAAATAAACACATTATAAGGTGTGATACACTAAAAATCTAAAATATGGTTATAATAAAAACATAACAAAAATAATGAAGCTGCTTTCTTTGATTAGCGAGAGTTTAAAAATTCTCTCTAATCTGTGGCTCATTCACAATCATCACACAGTTTCTGTTCGTGTTTTTAAAAACATGCACATATCTGTTATTTTACATGCTCTATATACCTGAATCTAATACATAATATCGGTAGGTACTTGGCTTGATTGCCCTATTTTCCTATATAAGTTATTTGGTTTTTATTATTCTAATACCTATGTGCCTATTTGCAAACATAACCTCAAAATCATTCAGTGTATATGGTTTATAGAAGTTCTCTGGAGTGGCCGTCGATAATATTCGTTTCTACGGTAATTTATATATAATTTCGAATGTAGGAAACAATTTTTCATGGTTATTGGTTTTTAGGCCAAACATGTATGGAAGCTGAGCAATCTCCTTTGTTAGATAATAACTCATCTTCTATACTTATAATAAATCTGTAGAGAGGTCAATTCTGTACATGAAATATATTTTCAAAATAACTATCAGGGGGTGATTAGTGATCGATACTGATGCCAAAAATGCAATCAGTAAAATTTTTGTCTGTCTGTCTGTCTGTGTGTATGTTCCTTATAGAAACAAAAACTACTCGACGGATTTTAACGAAACTTGGTACAATTATTCTTCATACTCCTGGGCAGGTTATAGTATACTTTTCATGACGCTACAATCAATAGGAGCAGAGTAGTGAAAGGAAATGTTGGGAAACGGGAGAAGTTACTCCATTTTTTAAGCTTCCGTCGCGTGTGCAGCCTTAATGGTTAAAGTTACATAGAAATCATGTATGACGGAAATATTCTACATAAAATTGTCTAAAAAATATCCCGCAACAGCATATGTCTATCTTTTATGGTTGACTCACAATAACACGTGTAACTCCTGATAGCTTAGCAGTTCGGAGCACTTTGATTATATTTGTTTACTCTTACGTTTATAATACTCTCACTCATCCCTAATTTAAAAAAGTTAACATTATTACCTATTCAATAAAAAGAGAATCATAGAAATCGGTATAGAAACACCAAACTTATACATGAAATAAGCCATCGCGCCGTCGCACGTGAATACTGAATCATGCTATAAGGATTATATTTGTGTACCGGTTGCCGCGCTCGACACGGGTCGCGCCGGCGGTAGGGTATAAAAAGGCGGGAGGTCCGAAAGCGAGCTTCCCCGCACCCCCGATCGTGAGAGACCTTCAGTCGCCCTGTCCTAAACCGATACGGATGCACATCAGAGTGCATCCGTCCTCTAAGCGCACTATGCAGTAGTATTTACTAAGGCAGCGCTGCATCATCCCCTTCTCAAGGGTTGATCGCATCAGATGAAGCTTGTATGGCCGCTAAGGCCATAGGCATCCCCCACGGGTGTGTTTTAGTCAGTAAGAGTCTGACATAACCCTACAGCCGGCTGTAGGGTATCCATGAGGATTTCACACCCGCTCGCCCGCCTGGGAGGAATAAAAAAAAAAGCGAGCTTCATTCAATATTTGGCTGTTGATGCGTTCAGAGCGTTCGACCTTATTGACAGACAATAATTGATATTAAGAAACCGTGCGTAATGTTTGGTTTTTATTCTAAGATAAGCATCTTAGAATAAAAACCAAACATTTGTAAACAAAATTAGCAAATAAATCATGTAAAACGTGTAGAAAATGAGTACTGGAAAACGGAAATATGAGAATTTTAGTTTGATTATAAATACAGGTAATAAAAATTACCGTTTTTATCTATATCTTTATATATATAATTCTTCTGTGAGTGTGTATGTCACTGAACTTCTCTTAAACGACTGGACCGATTTTGATGAAATTTTTTGTGTGTGTTCAAGGGGATCTGAGAATGGTTTAGATTCACAATTTTGTCCGCTGGACAACCCCTATTTTTTTAGGGCGGTAAGAAGTTCGCTGGGTCAGCTAGTATATTACTAAGGAAAGTATGACAAGCAGCAAAAATATATGTAAGGAAAGTAACAGTAATAAGATTGTACGTAATAAGCATAAAGAAAATACTTACCTAAAATGTAATGAGCAAAGTACACTGAAACCTGCAATTAAGGTCACACGCAGTGGAAGAAGTGTTATGCAACCAATACGATTTTTGCTGAAATGATAAATGTAAATGAAATATAACTTCTTAGTTGTGTCAATTTAAATATGTTGTGTAAAATTGTGTATTTCCACGCAAGTGATGTTGTTAATTTTAGTGATTTTGTAATGCAGTAAGTATAAATTCATGCGTGGCGTTGCTATTATGGATTGCAGAACATAGCCCTTTGTGACTACCTAAGACCTGTTGTTTTATTTTGTTTCTCCTGAAACATCTTAATGACGGACCTGAGAAACAGATGTTCGCAAAATTGTGTAAAATCTATGTATTGAAGTTATATAGAATGTGTATTGTGAAATGTCAGTATGAAAGGAAATTTAGAGATTTTGACAAAATTATAGTTTATAGTTACAGTCCTGTTGTCGAGCGCTCGCGGTACCGGCGCCGCACTGTTGCCGCACCGCGCGTTTTGTGTGAAAAAAGAGGATCGTCCGTACGTTGTACGACAAACGCACCGCTTCGGCACCGCAGCAGGCCGTCAAGAAACGCATAAATTGGAAGCGCCCTAAGTGTACGCACCGACCTCGACACACTCGGACGATGAAGTGGAGGATATATTCGATGATATATCGAGGGCCCTCCTCTTCACTACTAAGACCCACTACAGCGTTGTTATGGGGGACATCAACGCTTAAGTGGGAGTACAGAATTGCAGCGAATCGGAAGTAGGATCCGATGGCTTTGGAAGCAGAAATCATTTGGGGCAAATTCTCGTGAACTTCGTCGAACGGGAGGGGATCGTCTTAAAGAACTCTTCCTTCAAGAAACAGCCCCAAAGGAAGTGGACGTGGCAAAGCCCAGACGCTTTGATTAAAAATGAGATCGATTTCATCATGACGGACAAGAGGTACATATTCAGAGACGTCTTCGTGATCAACAGGTTCAATACACCGGTTGTGATCACCGGCTCCGATCTACTCTGCTCCAAGTCATAACAGGATTTGACACGTTCCAGTCAAATCTGGCGAACCGATTTGCTGCCGTGGAAATCACATCAAACGTAAACTAAAACCTCGAAAATGTAGTTCACATCCTCAGGGAAGAGGCTAGGGTTAATGAAGGGACGACGTGAAAATCCACCCATCACTTCATCGGGAAAGTGGAACCAAGAGATCAGTTAGCACGTACGACACGACCTCCAGTGCCCCAATACTATCTCGATCGAGAGAAGTTGTTGCTTCGAAGCCGGCAGTCCTTTCGGAAGTATAAGACTACGGCCATTCCCTATCCCGGTAATGAGGATTCTAGAGCTACATTAACATGCCACTTTACCGCAGACCTGCCAGAAGTCAATATTGACGAAATCGAGATTGCTCTTGGACAGCTTAATGGAAATGCCCCTAGAGAGGATGGTGTTACAACAGAACTCTTAAAAACCGTAGGTTAAAACGTACCCAGTTAGCTCCAAAATCTAAGCATCGGCCTACGGATGAACTTGGATAAAAACAAGGTCATGTTCAATGAACATGTTCTACCGAAACCGATTGCAATACACGGTGCCGCTCTCGAGGTTGTTTAAAAATATGTGTACCTCGGGTAGAAGTTGCAATTAGGCAGAAACTACTTGGAGGACGAGGTGAATAGTAGAATTAAGCTGGGTTGGACAGCGTTTGGGAAGCTACATCGAGTCCTGCCATCGTCGATCCCACAGTGCCTAAAGACGAGTCTTCAATCAGTTCGTCCCACCTGTGATGACATACGGAGCCGAAACGTGGACACTGACGGTACGGCTGGTCCAGAAGTTCAAAGCCGCTCAGCGCGCTATGGAAAGGGTTATGCTCGGCGTTTCTCTGAAGTATCGCTTCAGAAATGAGGTGATCCAACAGAGAACCAGAGTTATGGACATAGCCCACCCGGTTAGGAAGTTGAAATGGCAGTGGGCTGGCCATATTTGCCGCAGAACCGATAACCGTTGGGGTAGACGAGTTCTGCAGTGGGACCGCGTCTAGGCAAACGTAGTATAAGACGTCCTCAGGCACGGTGGAGTGACTATTTGCGCAAGGGTGGCAGGAGCTGGATGCGAGTAGCCCAAGATCGATATCAGTGACGTGCAATTGGAGAGGCCGGCCAGCAGTGGACTAAGATAGGCTGTGGATGGGATTGCCCTCCTTTTAAACGGAAGGGCGGCAGAAGCCATAAAATAGAAAATATAATAAAAAAATGTAGAAAAGAATAAATGAAAAAAATCAGGTTATTCTAATATTAATTTATTGCTAGTTTAGAAACGAACTAACAATTACATATCCACATAACCCCCAGTTAGACCATGTTTTCGTAGATGTATAAAATTTGTAGTGTTTATTAACATAATAATTTTTAATAATATTCATTTCATGATTGGGTTTAATTATTTAATCTCTTGGTATTTCTAGCCGCATTGTCGACAGTCTTCACTGTTATACATTTTTTGTCCATGAAACGTAATAGGTCCTGTAACAATAATGAAATATAAAGTACTCACATATTTTGTAATATCTAGGAAGCAACTAATAATTATTAATTAAAAACTAGCTCTGTCTGTCTGTTACTGCTGCCATGCCCAAACTGCAAGAATAGATTTGATTTCTTTTGGTTTAGAGAAAAACGACTTCCCCTGAAGTCGTCGAAGGAGATCGGCTACTTTTTACCCGACAGTTCCGCTGTGGCACACTAGAGACCAAACGCGTGGACCGATTTTGATGATTCATTCGTCAATCGATTCTTCTTAGTCATGGGAGTGCTACTAAAGATGATAGTAATCGAAATTCAATATGGGGGCAATTACCCGCCATATTGTAAGAAAGAAAAAAAAACAAGTATGTCGAGAAATATGTCGAGTGAGGTATTATTGTCTAGATAATCGAAATCTCATGTTTAGATATCCTACACCATTTTTCATTTTATATAACTGTTTAGGATCTACAACTATTTAAAGTTGTATATTAACCTCTTGCGCTAATAATTTCAATCTTACGTGTGGATCTTTGTTACCATTATTATACCATTGAAAAGAAAAAAGCAAGGCCAGTAGTCTATAATTGTGCTGAATAAGGAACAAAGGTACTTTAACAGTTGGGACCTATTATTGAAAATATTTGATACATTCTTGAATATCTAATAGGTCCCGACTCTTAAAGTAGCTTTGTTCCTTACTTAACAGACTATAGACTACTGGCCTTGCTTTTTTCTTTTCAGTTTTTGAAGTTATACTTCTTTAGGCGCGTTATGAAAAAATGATAAGAGTGAAATTTTTAGATGCGCACGCATCACTGTAACCCAAAAGTAACAGCATGAAATTGGCCGCGGGCGCGTTATGAAAAAAATCATGTGAGTGAAATTTCGAGATGCGCGCGCATCACTGTAACACAATAGTAACACCATGAAGTTGGCCGCGGGCGCGTTATGAATGTTAGTGTTACTACATCTGTTCGAAAGGTACTTTGAACGATCCACGGAGCTCCATAAGATGATCGCGTTGTCAAAAACAATGTTGGCACGCTCGTCGCCTCTGATCACTGTTTTCATATTTATAATATTTATCCACATGTTTCTAGTTTCTATATAGACACAACGTGTTTTAGTTACTTACAAGTGCTAATTACATATGGACTAATAACTTAAATTCAGTAGTGATTTTAATTGAATATTTTGAATATTTATTTAATTTTTCAAATTAAAACTGAACTTAATTGACTGTGTTAACTATCCTTTTCCAGTCCTTTTATTATTTTATTGTAATTATTAATTATTTGCATGCAATTAAAAAATATTTTTAATGATGCTAAAGAAGTATAACTTCTCACGCGCGTACATAAGTTACACGCATCCATTTTTTATTTGAAGTATTATTTTAGCAGTCTGGTTTTTTGATATTTTAAATTCACCTTTTTTGGAGCGTAAATTGCACTTGCGAGAGTTTAAATAGCAATAAGTAGTAAAAAAAGTACAAGGAGAAAAAAAATTTATTTAGATATTTCTAAATTATGGCTCAATTAAATTTGACCGTTAGCCCGTATTCGGGTGCACGAAAAACATTACTCGAATTCGGCCACCCGACGCAATATTTGTACTGGAATATAAATACTACCCGAACTTAGTCATTTACCCGAATTCCATTGACACTACTATTCGGGCTAAAGACCAAATGTTAATGCGCCATTAGTCTAGTATGCTATATATGCATGATTACCTTAGGGTCATATCTGTAGCCCGTAGACACTAGTCCTTTATGTATTTCGTCTATGTTGACCGGTTCGTACCGCAGAATGGCTTCTCTTAATAAACTCCGGCAAGAAACGTAGTTATGGAACGCTATATGCAGTGGGACACGACATGAAGATATCTGGAATAGAAGAATTACATATTGATTGTTTATAGATTTTGACGACCTCCGTGGCAGAGTGGTTTGTACGAGAACCCGAGAGGTCCCGGTTCGAATTCCAGTGGGGGGCAGATGTTTGTGTGATGAATACGAGCATTTGTTCTCCATACATGGATGTTTAATAGACCGAAACGATCGACGAGTGATCTTCTAGCGTACTTAACTCATAGCTGGGGTTAGGCTATCGACAAGCGGGTCGAGTCGTTGGCTATCAGCCTTGACATTGCTAAGGCGTTCGACAGGGTCTGAAACAAAAGTCTTCTCTCCAAGCTTCCGGCATACGGTCTGCCGCTCCAATTCTGTTCCTGGGTTACTGCATGAGTGTAGAATTCGTGTCCTTATGGATAGTAGTAGTTCGCAATTCATGTCAGTGAATACCGGCGTTCCTCAGGCCTCCGTCCTGTCCCCCACTCTCTTTCTGCTGAATATCAATGACTTAATTGCTCTTGGGAATATTTATTGCTATGCAGACGATATTACAATGCACGCGGGATATCTCGGACAAACAGCGGCTGGGCAGGCGGTAACCAAGGAAAAACGGGAGAATCTTGTCATTGAACTCAATCAGGCTTTGGAACACATTTCTGAATGGGGTACCAAGAACAGACAGTTACAAATTACTCAAGCTCGAATCGAGAAAACTTTCTGCTCTAAGATTATATGCAAAATTTTGGTAATCTTCAATTAAATTAGTTCATGCTTTAATAAATAGGTAGTTGTTTTCTTTTTCTGTCTTAAAATATAATAAAACAGATATGTATACAACAATTAAATAATTAAGCTAAACAAAACCACATCTGTGTAATGTAACCTTACCTTCGACTTTTCTCGTTTTTGAAAAACCCAATCCTCTTCTAAGCATTTTATGTCTTTTATATCTGGAACTTCGTTTGTCACTTCATACAGATTATTTTCCTTATCAGTCGAAATTATATTTTCTTTTGGTGGCTTTACACTGTTCTTGGGATATGGATCACAGCGTTTTCGCTTTTTAGAAGGCGACAAAGCATCTTCTGTAGAAGACTGAACAAGTGGATGTGTCTGGTTATATAAATGTGTTAATAGTTGAACAGCTACAGTGATGAAAACAAAACGAAATATTAATAACCAAAGAAAAGTGTGGTTTAAATAAAACAAGACTTTATTTCAATGTGGTAAGGGTAAATATTAACAGAGAGATTGATTGAAGTAGGTATTATTGAATTTCGTCGGCGCAAGTGGTAAGCGCGTTCGGCTGCGATCACTGAAGTTAGCCACTTTCTCAGTGGACGGGAATTGGATGGGTGACCAAAAATTGATTATCTCGAACTCCTCCGTGCTTCGGCAGGCACGTAAGCCGTTGGTCCTGGCTGCATCTACAGTGTCCCGAATGCTGGGTGGTCATGGCCCAATAACCCTATTCCATCCATTAGGAAGGCCTGTGCCCCAGCAGTGGGGACATTAATAGGTTGATGATGGATATTGAAGAGTTCCATGACATGGCGTTGTGCTAAGCGCAGACAGCCTGTGATTGTGCAAACTGTTCAACTTTTGCAATGGCCAGTCCACAGTATTGTGGACTGTAAAAACCCTACCCAATTTTAAGGGACCTTTATCCTGACTAAAGGTTGTGTAATGTGAGTTAGGGAGTAAGAGGCCTAATTTAGGGCGATTGGCGCAGTGTAAAATTGCTACCACCCTAGCTTGGGGCCACGCCTAGTGTTGCCGTTTTGCGCGGGACGTCTCGATTTTCAGAGGTCTGGGGACGCGTCCCGATTTGCACCTGATCGGGACGCTAAATGTCCCGATTAATATAAAAATGAAAGTTAGGTAATTAATATAATACTATTGCAAGTACTAGTAGTTTAAATCGCAATTTTTAGATGTCCGCTCTGCATAAAATCCTACGTTATTTTTCGATTGGATTATGTCGGAGGGTGCCCCCTAAGTATAAAACCGAGTTTCTGTCGCCCGAAACTGCGAGCGTTAGCCGCCATCTTGGAAACCGTTTTTTTGCATATATCTCGGAAACGGTAAGTTTTACGTTAAAAACCGAAGAGATCTTTTTTGCAGAGAACAAAATTTCCCATCTTTTTTATACCAAACTTTTCCCCCTATTGTTGATATTTTTCGATATATTGAAGTAAAAAAACCAAATTTTTTGTTTTTGTAAAGTAACTCAATAATTTTTGGAGATACGAAAAAAATGTTTGAATTAAAGTTGGATGCAGGTAACATGGACTTCGAAGAAGAAAATTCGCAAACCTTCCAAAATCGCCCTTCCGGTTGTAAACAGCGAAAAATTTTATAAATCTAACATCGACGAATAAAATTTATCAAATACAATTTATTAAATTAATATTCTGCGATCCTGATTTGTAAACAGCGACTTATATCGCGCAAATGATAATGAATTTGGATACATGAATAAATTTTCATTCCTTTTTCCAATAATTCGTTAAAATATTTTTATTGTGCATAATTTCCTTTTTAATCTTTCATTTCCCTCCTTTTCACAATAAATAAAATCGTTACCGTCTTCATGATAAAATTTTTCGATTATACTTTTTTGTTTGCATGCCAGAGTAACGTATTACCGCTCATCGCTGATTTTCGATTCCAGGTGACAATTTTTATTCAGCTGGAACTCAGCAACTAATCATTTTACAAGAAAAAGTTTTATACAAAATTTGTACAAAATTTCATGCTCTCCAACTTTAATTCAAACATTTTTTTCGTAACTCTGAAAATTATTGAGATACTTTACAAAAACAAAAAATTTGGTTTTTTTACTTCAATATATCGGAAAATATCAACAATAGGGGGAAAAGTTTGGTATAAAAAAGATGGGAAATTTTGTTCTCTACAAAAAAGATCTCTTCGGTTTTTAACGTAAAACTTACCGTTTCCGAGATATATGCAAAAAAACGGTTGCCAAGATGGCGGCTAACGCTCGCGGTTTCGGGCGACAGAAACTCGGTTTTATACTTAGGGGGCACCCTCTGATATAATCCAAACAAAAAATCACGTAGAAGGATTTTATGCAGAGCGGACCGATTTTTGGTGCTAAAATTCCTGGACTAAGAGATGTTTGTGTGATAAATACGAGCATTTGTACTCCAGTCATGGATGTTTAATATGTATTTCTATATAAATATACTTATATATTATGTACAGTATATGTATTATATCCGTTACCCTAGTATCTCATTACACAAGCCTCATAGTGCTTACTTTGGGGCTAGGCTAATTGGTGTGTGTTGGAAATATTTATTTATTTATAATATTTAATGTTTGCTCTTGAATCTTACCTCTTTTTCTTTTGAATGGTTTTAGTCCATATTTTTCTAGTTCACTATTTCTCTGAGGGGTTGACATTGATGCATAGTCTAACATTGGAGTGACATTATCAGTTTTGACAATATAATTGGAACACATTGGTGTTATTACAGAAACAGATTTTGCTTTGTTTAAATTATTTTCAGGTGTCATATTTGACACTGGTTTAAGGTTAGGTTTATTAGTTCCTTTGACTTCAATATCAGGCAAAAAACTCTCTGTCATAGAATTTTCCATAGGAAAATTATATTCTTGTTCTTTTGTACCTTCTAAATATTTAGAACTTTCTAATTTAGGTAAATCACCCATAACCGATAAGCCTCCAAAATTTTCCCAAGGAATATAACTTTTGGATTTATTTACTGAATAATTTAATTCCTGATCACATAATTCAAATACTACAGAATCCTGATTCGAGTTTTGAGATGATACTTCACTATTGTTAGTCCTTTCATTTGTCATTGCTTTTGACTTTTGAGATAAATCACTAGTATTTTGAGTATTATTTTTACTATACTGTACAATATCATCATATAAGTAATCATAATCAACTGAGACTTCATCCCTTTTTCCCAAACTACTCATGTCCAATTTATTTGATGCAGATTCTTTTGTAGACAGTATTTCCGTAGCTGAATCAGAACTTTGTGTTAAATCTATTTCACAGTCATCTTTACTGGGGGACTTTGATTCTACAGACGTTATATGTTCACTCATGTCATCTGAATGATTTACTTCAAATTCATCAAAGAAGCTTTGACTTGTTTTTATACTGTAGTCATTTATGTAATCTTCACATACTTTATGTGATAACTGATCATCTAGATTTTCTTTATTTGAAGGCTGTTGGCCTACAGTTTCTGAAGGTTTCAATGCACTGTCAATTTCGTCATCATTTAATATTATAGTATCATCTAATGACACATCATTGCCTCCATTTTCTTCAAAAGTAGGTAGTTTAACTATTGCAGTGATTGCTTGAGATTTATTTAAACAGTTATTTGAATGTTTGCTAGTCATTTCTGTTTCACGGTGATAACCATTAGAATTTTGAGTAAGATCAACTCTTGTTTTAAGTGACTTTATATCTGACTTTGTGACAATACATTCAGTTATTTCCATAAAATCATTAGATATCCTCCTAGTTTTATCACTTTGAAAAGGCTTTGAAAGATTAATTGAATTTTTATCATCATTTAATACTTTTAAATTTTCTTCTCGTAAAGACTGATTTATGACTTCAGCTTTAGGTATAGCAGAAAATGCAACACATTCAGTAATTTCCATTAGATCATTAGAGTTTTTTCTAGTAATATTCTGAGAATTCTTTAAACTTTTGCTTAATTTATCATCAGTGCTTTGAGTCAAGTCCATAAAGTAAACAGGTTTGCTTTTCTCTTCAATAATGGTATCAATTAATTCTATATACACAAAATTTTTATTTTCTTCTGTATCAACTAGAATACTAGTTGCTTCATCATCAAACATATCAGGAGAACAACTTCTAGTGATGTTACTTATTGTGCTTGAGACAGAGTTACCTGAAGGTATACTTAAAGAGCACTTTTGGTTTTGTGTTTCAGTTTTATTTTTGGTATTCTCTTCACATCTGCCATCATTATCACAAATACTTTGATCTTCAATTGTATCAGGAAGCATTTTACGTTTAGTAATTTCATTAGCAGTGATCATTGGGTGATCAGTAGAAAGTGGTATCACTTTTTTATTAATAACATTTTTAGTAGATTTCAATGTGCCACTAAGAACTATATCAAGTTCATCTTGTGAACATTCTATTGCACTGAAATCCATATTCATATTTCTACTGTAGGTAGGGCTGACTGGTCTACCCGGTATATCAGACCAGTTCCTTAGCAAATTTCCAGTACTTGAAGATTTTTCTAGTAAGTTTCCAACATAAAAAGCATCATTATTTTTAATTTCTTTGTAAGGAATATTAGTTGCTTTAAAATACAACTTCTTGTCGGAATAGTCAGACTGACTATGGTCACTCTGTTTAAACTCAATCACATTAAGAAGTACTTGTGTATATTTATCAGCAATAATTTGTTGCTTCTCAGCAGCAGTACAGAGTAGTAATTTATAGTTCTTCCTAGTTTTTTGCGATTTTTTGTTTATTTTTATTTCTGGTACTGTGAATCCATACTCTTGTAAAGTAGTTCTAATTTTACCTGTTCTCTGAGAAGATGAATTCTGTATAGAGGTAGGCTCACCGTGATCAGTTTTTTGAAGTGATTTTGATAGCGCAACAGCCAACAAGAGTTGTTCTGTATCTACATCTAGTCCTGACTTTTTGCATACTTTATCAAATTCTTGGGTATATTTCAACAAATCATTATCGCTATTACTTTTAAGGGCAGCCCGTATATCTTTTTGTCCTTTTATTCTTTTAGAACTTCTTTTAGCTTTATTTCTGTTTACTGGTGGATTTACACAAGACTTCGGTCCCGCAACTGCTGATTTCTTTTCTCTGAAATCTGATAAACTCTCATCCATAACACGATTGCTTGCGAAATATTTGCTTTCAACTTTACATGGACTTGAATTTTCGCTGGTAACAATTAAAACAAAGTATGTAAATTATGAATAAATATTTATTCAATTAAAATCGAAAAAACACATTTAATACATACCTACTAGCTAATTTTGCAATATTTACATTCATCACTTTGTTTAAGCGTCTGGTCTGTCGACCCTGGACATTTCTTTTTCATAACGGCGTATAGTTTCTCCTGTCCTGTTAGGCAATCCACTGGCTATCATAAGCTTCCTTTCGACTTCTTCTATAGGATCTTCATACAAAACCTCAGTGGCTTTTCTTAAGTTTTCCGTGACACTCGAATAACTAAAAAAGTGGAAACAATATGAACCTAACCTCCACGAAACAAAGTTTTATATACTTATATTCTTAAAAAATAATAGTCACTAACTGAAATATTAGGCCGCTTATGATTCCAAAACTTATAATACCAAGACCAATGGCATTCCTAAATTTCGCAGCAGGAGTTCCTTTTATTTTTCTAGGTTTCCATTTTGAAGTATCTACTCCGATAGCCATTTTATTTTTTTGTAAATAGTTTTGACAGTTTTGTTTTTTTTTGTTGAAGTTCTCCCGTTTTAGGTTAGGCAAAGGAAACAATGCCCATACAGCCTGGTCTTTAATTAAATTAATCTTCTTTTTGTTTTTACATTAGAATGTCGGTGTGACGCATTCTAATGTTTATTGGAGTGTTGGGCACGAAATGTATCGAGTTAGCTTTTTCGATAAGCTTCTGTGAGGTAGTCAACACTACAATAAAATTCTCACGTAAAGTGTCCGGAATAGCGTATATTTTTACGATTCCACTAATTCTTCAGTTACGCAGACGGTTGGTACACAAAACCACACCAATTTTATTTCACAATATCCACTATGAACGAATTTGAGAGTAATGAAAATAAGACGCCAACCGCACTCGATGAAATCCCGCCAAAAACCTCAGTTTTGTTTTTGCAATTTGCACAGATTAGGATAGGAGCTATAAAGAATATTTAAAAAAATAGAGACCTTGTCTAAGGGTACGGGTACGGCCAGAGTGCACTCACCTTACCTTACCTGCTGCCACTATGGCCACCCTGCTTAAACTACACTGTTTATTTCTCGCGCTTGTTTATTGAGTCTGAATCTGATTCTGAACCTGCGTGCACTGTGGCCCTACTCTAAGTTTCTAGGGGTGACGATATTTATATTTACAATCGAAATGAAAACGAAATAAACTTAATTAAAATCAAAATATTTAAGTTACATTTTTTTTTTGAAGCAATTAACTGCTAGATGTTTAAATCTAAAAAAGGAGATGTTTCATTTTGGGCCAGGGTTGACTTTCCTATAAAATATGATAAACAACAAGCATTCCCAGAAAAATAACAATAATTAGTTTTATTGGTACAATGAAGAATAATAAGGCGATTTTGCGATGTCATCTATGTTGACTTTCCTATAAAATATGATAAACAACAAGCATTCCCAGAAAAATAACAATAATTAGTTTTATTGGTACAATGAACAATAATGAGGTGATTTTGCGATGTCATTAAGTCTGGGGCAGTCTGGGGTAATATTAGTAGATATTACCACAGACTGGGCAATGACAAGTCTGTAGTATTGGGAACATAGTAAGTTCAAAAATGTAATGTGTAAAAAAAAACATTAGTCCAGTCACTTTAGGGTTTCACCTCGGAATTTGAGATAATAAGCTGGAAACTCGTGTACAGCTTCATTTTGGCGTTCTAAAAGTTGCCTCAAGCGTCTCATATTATCTCGTGTCTGCGTCGTGAGTTATTCGAGGTCAAAGGTCACGAAAATCGATTTTTTGATTTGGAACCATAGAAAACCCGATTTTCGTGACCTTTAACCTCTAAAGTGACTGGACTACATAAAAATGCTTAAGAATACTCAAAAAGTAGTACTGTATCGTGTCAAGTAGTACTGCCTTCTGCATCAGGCCCTTGACCCAGTCACCCAACTCGAGCCTTGGCAGATGGCAGTAGAGGCTCTAGGCTATCAGGCCATTAACCGTCACAACTATCGGCACAATGATAGCCGAGTCAACATTTCACATGGTGACAACCTCATGAGCCAAGTCAAGATATTTTATTTGTTTATCTTTCTCGGCTTTCTCGTCATGACGGTCACATCAACTATCATTGCGAGACCCTTTTCCAGATCTATCTCCACTATATCAGGCTTAATGTCAACAATAGTCCTGTCATCCTGTGTGACGAAAGATCGGTCCAAGGATCCGTGGATACGTGATCCTCAAATGCGTTCCGAAGAGTAAACCTCAATTAGAGGAAGGTGTCTCTTTTTAGTAGTGTGACCAAAGTCTAAACAGTAACTTAAGTGATGAGATAATTATTTTTCTCTGGGTGAAGTAACCTTCTAATTTTGAATTCTATATCCTTAGCTTGAAAGTCCAAAAAATATTAAAATCTTTAAACTACCTTCCGAGCTTATTTAATACGTCGATATTGCATCTGTTTTTGACGTGACAACGTCTTAAATTAGGTTGCGGCTGGGAGTCACTTATGAAAAAGTGTAACGCTCGGTAACGTTACGATGAGTCTCTCGTGTTAAGTTTAAGTTTACATGTACAATGTTTTAGTAAACAAAATATATTTCTATAGTTAAAAGAAGGATGCCCATTTGTGACCTGTCAAATCTGTAAAAAAAAATTGCATGTATAATTATGTGACATACCTCAAAAAAAAGGTAATTATTCGCTTATTACGAAATCAAAATATCAACAAAAACTACAATCCAGTTTTTTTCAAAAATAATTTTTGAATATAACCATTATGTAGGTACATTTTTTGCTATCACACGAACGCATCCATTAGGGAAGAGTATTGTATCCATGATTGTATCAAAGTAAAATGACATAATTATGAACGCAGCTTAAATGTAGATTCGCACTCTCCTTTCCAATGTTGCCAGTCATGCGGTAAATACCGTATTTAAATGGTAATGTAATACTTAAAAGGCATGGCTTTAATTTAAAGTTTCTTTCCGTTCTTAACAAAGACTGGCCATTTTCTTAGTGAAACATGACCGAAATAGTTAGGACTCCATCATCTCTTCGGCTGACTACATGAGAAGGAAATTCGTTCCGAAAAAATGCCAGCAATAATGACAGCTGCTCATAGTACCAATCATCTCAATTAATGGAAGGTATTGTAATTTTATTTTAGATTATTACCTACTTATATACTTGTCTACCAGAGATTTAAATAATACATAGTTAAATGTCTTAGATGTCTATAGATATAATTAGGTAAAGGTCAAGATTATCATTTATTCATTCGCTTGTAGAAACTAAGACATTAAGTACCTACTATTTCAATAAAATAATTGAAACTGAATTATTGATTAAATATAAAAAAAAACTTGTTTAATTCCAAAGACAATATTATAAGGATGACACCTCAGCATGATACATGTTATGATATTAATCCTTTTTTCTTCAATCCTCAGATCAAGCTTCAATCAAACAAAACAAGCGAATTGAAATAAATACAAGACACCACAGCTGTGACAGCACACAAATGAATAATCTTATGCTGGCACTTCACTTGGCTATTCATGTAAACTTGACTTCAGTCTGTCCTTTTCTTTCCTTAAAACATGATAAGGACAGACTGTTGTCAAGTTTACAAATAGCCAAGTGAAGTTCCGGCATTAGATAATCTATAATCAATCTCGTAACCACAGAGTAAGTAAATGACATCTTCAGCAGTTGAATAACCTCAGAATTAGTTTTCGTTATAACTTCTATTCCTCATTGCCAAATCAAACCAAATTAGCAACATTATTTCAGTAGATTGTAATAATTAGTTAACAACCTCAACAGTCAATATACGTCCATAAAGTAAAAACCGAAGTGACAGGTTTTCGAATGTATGGGCAGTGGGCATTGTTCTTTGTGCAATTCTTATTTTCATTCAATTCCTTGTTCCTATTGTGCAATTTAATTATATTCATATCAATAAATATTCTACCGAGAAAAAGACGTTGTCACGTAAAATCTTCGCCCGTAAAACCGACTTTACAGGCAACCATTTTTTTTCATTAGTTTTTCTCCAAAGTTTTAATAAAATTGTAAATCACACCCTCAGAATAGAAGTGTCGAAGTCATAAATTAGGTCCACAGGGTTCTCGAATATGCATTTTAGCCCAATATGTAGCAAAATTAATGTTTAATTTCTATTTCTATATGAAAATACTTATATGTGTATCAGTATATGTATTCTATCCGTTACAGTAGTATCCCATAACACAAGCCTACAGTTTTTTTATCTAACCTTAAACACGATTTACTGTTCTCAAAATTTAGTTTCAATTTGTCAAACGATACTTTTTATAATAATTCATATGTATACTTTTATCGCATCTTTCCTGTTTGTTTAATCAAAGTACATAAAATTTGGGAGAGCTCGGTGGTGCAAGTGGTAAGCGCGTTCGGCTGCGATCGTTGAAGTTAAGCAACTTTCGCAGTGGTCTGTTATTGGATGGGTGACCAAATTATACGTCCTTAGTCTAGCTCCTTCGTGCATCGGAAGGAACGCTAAGCCGTTGGTCTCGGTTGCAACTGCAGTCGTTGGCAATGGGCGCGCTGTGGATCTTGGGCCAAAACTCCTTATTCTTACCATAGGAAAGGCCCCACGTATAGGAACATTAATATACTAATGATGATGATGGCATATACTTTCCGTCGAAAAAAACGATAAAGGTGTCGATTCTGGCATGATTCTCTAAACTGAAAACTAAATTTAAAATCAGTCTCTCCCTTTCATTCCGTACACAGAAAGACAAAGATAGACTGTTGTCAAATTTAAGTTTAGGTTTAGATAATTGTGCCAGAATCGACACCAATGTTTTGTTACCCTACACATATAATTTGTAAACAGAAATCAAAAACTTACCTATTAATGAAATTCTATAAACAGCATTTGTACACCATTTTGCATAAAAAAATATAATTTTGCACCAGCAAATCACAAGAACTTTGATCAAAATAAATTGTAATTAGCATAAATAGGACTTCGATCCGGGAGAATACTGCCTGCCACATTGTTTATTGGAAGCATCGCAAGTGTTTTCATGCATAAATGCAAGTTATTGCCTATGACTACCATTTAAACAATTTTATTAGATATGTTATCCATTTCAATAAAAATAAACCCATTTTTTATTGAATTGATATCAGTATACTAAGTGCAATCAAAAATAAATGCTAATTTAATTCATAATGGTGTCGACTCTGGCGTGATTGTCCAAACTTAAAACTGAATTTAACATCAGTCTCTCTTTTTCATTCTGTATAGAGAATGACAAGGAAACATTGGTGTCGATTCTGGCGTGATTCTCTAAACTTCAAACTAAACATCAGTCTCTCCTTTTCATTCTGTATAGAGAATGACAAGGATTCGAGTTTTTTTCATTATTAATTTGCATTTTCTGAGAACATTTATCAAAGTAGAGATTTCAACAAACAAAAAACACCGCAACTTTTTTAAAAAAGCAGATATTTTGACGTGAGATTTTTCGATTGAAAATTAGGGTGCTTTTTGGATATTAAGTCAAAATAAGGTGAAAAAATGAATATTTTAAATCAAAAAAAATATTTTATGTTTGGGACATACAACGGTAAGTTTTCACCAAATTTCGTGAAAAAATATTTTTTTTTGCAAAAAATAAAAACCAAAAACTCGGTTATTCGCATTTTTCACATAAATTTTCAGGTTTCAGCCCCCTTAGTCTGTGATGCTTTTTATTTTAAATTTTAATGTTTAAGTGAAACGCCAACGCCGTAAAATTTATAAAAAAATGATTATTTACATTTATGTATTACAAGTAAAATAATAAATTGTACACATAATAATGTCTCTGCTTCAAAATTTATCCTACGAAGACTATCAGCAAGCTCTGACATTTTCAAAGGAAAAATGTGAAATTATTGCTGAATTAGCCAATTTAAAGTAAGTATCCAAAAAATAAACACTGAAAAACATCACTGCCCCTTTTTAAACAAAGTTATGAGATCCCAAACTTTGTCTATTTTGTTGTTTCTATAAAATGATAACCTTTCATGGGCTAATAATACATACATACCAATTTTTTTAGAATCACTCTTGATGACACAAATAAGCCAGGCGAAAAGTTGATCAAGTACTTATATCGCCGAGGCTACAGCGCTGCCCAGTACAAACAGTTTCTTTCAAATTCCCAGCAAGTTAAAACTATAGTTACTTATTACAAACCACAGTCTAAAATTGCCATTTTAATAGCTAACAGTAGTTACAATGACTTATCGAAACTGGCCACTCCATCAGTAGACTGCGACTCTCTAGCTGCAAGTTTGAAAAATCTAGGATTCATTGTGTTAACTTTGAAAAATACTTTGAGCTCAGAATTACAGAACATACTGGTTAAAATGGTGGATGTGATACCTGAAGATTCATATTGTAAGTTCATACTCTTGTCTTATATCAATTTGTCTTGAGTCATCATATTGGAGGTTTGCATTGCCTACAATAACTGCAACAGCTTCAAAAAGAGCCTTGTAGATTTAAAGACTTTCATTACCATGCTAAATTTTGCAGCATGTTTTACCAAAATTTCACACAAAATTCTTTGGTCTGTTATAATTTTGTGCTTTTATATTTCCAGGCTTCATTTTCTATGCAGGACATGGTTGCGAGCTGTGCAATACAAAGTGTATGCTTTGCATTGATTGTCCAACAGAAAACATTGAAATGAAGCATTGTGTCACTGAAAATTTTGTTTTGAAAGAGGTGGCGCGTTGTAAACCAGACCTTTGTATTTTTATAATGGACATGTGTAGGATGAATTTGGATAGGTAATAATTTCATTTATTATTTTATTGATATAATTCAATATTACTTTTAACATCATAGAATGTGTTTTGCTTTGTAACATTGCAGGTGTAGCAATCCTAAAATGTTTGAAGCATTGGCAAATATAGAAGATTACACGATACATAGCAATCTTCTAGTGGTTTACTCAACACAGTCTTCTGCTTATGAAGTATTGCAAATAGAATGTTCAACTACTATAGATGCAAATGTAACATATGAATTGAAAACAGGGGACACGGATAAAATATTGCCAGGAAGTAGTCAATATGTGAATGCGCTGTGCACAAGGCTAGGGGATGACTTGGATATCAGTAATTTATTGGACAAAGTTCATGGAGGTGAATAGTCATTTTTTGAATAAATAAATAATAAATATTTCCAACACTCACCAATTAGCCTAGCCCCAAAGAAAGCAATGTAAGGCTTGTGTATAGGATACTAGGGTAACAATAATAATAGAATACATATATAACTATATTTATATAGAAATACATATTAAACATTCATGATTCAAGTACAAATGTATTCATCACACATCTGCCTCCACCAGGACTCGAGTCAGTGACATCATGAAACCCAGAGTACAAACGACTATGCTATGGAGGTCGTCAAAATGCCTAGATTCATTGGAGCATTTATAAACTTTTTCACATTATATATTTCAGATGTTGAGAAATCATTTAGAAAACAGAGGCCAATAAAAGTTCAATGTGGAGTGGCCAAAAGATCTCTATATGATCCAGTAAAAGGTAATGAAATTTTAATAAAATATTACTGTCTTAAGGAAATTTTATCCTATAAATACCCTCATAAAGGAGACAAAGTAGCGGATGCTGTATAATAAGTGTAATAGTAGTTTTTTTATAATTTAATTTAAATTTGTTTCTTGTTAGTATAATACTAATTCATTCAGTTCAATAAATGGAAGGTCTAGTACCAGCAGATGTTTTTTTTAGGTTTAAGTTTAAGTTAGGTTTGTATTGAAAACATCTGGTACTAGACACTGCTGGCTGAAAAAAAACACTCTAAATTAAATTATAAAAAAACTAGTGGGGTCCGCTACTTTGTCCCCCTTATGAGGGTATTTATAGGATAAAATGTCCTTTCCCATGTCTTAAACTATCTCTATACCAAATTTCAGTTGTTAAGTAACTCACTAATTTGGTTGTAGGAAATGTAGCAGCAGTGTTGGCAAAGGTGAAAGATGAAACAAAAGAATTTAAAAATGCTGTGATATTCTAGGACTAAGTATAAATAAATAAATATAAAGTTAATAGTTTTGTACTATTATTATTAAATAAAATGTCTATGATTTTAGTTTATAACTCAATTCTTTTTATTTAAACATAGGCCTTTAAGTGACTCCAGTTTGACTTATCTATCTGTTATCATTGGTAAGCTAGAGATTATTTTCTGTTAAGTGTATGTGGCTGAAAATGATTAACTATGTTCACCCACCAACTATCTTCTACACCCTTTGTGAATTCCCTTATGAATCTGTAGTTCAATACAAATATCTTGTCTTGGAACTCTGGTTGAACCCTAAAAAAGAGATTTAAATGAAGCATTAAAATAACCCTAAACAACAATATCAGCCTATTCAAGTCTTTACTGTTCAGACACAGGCCTGCTATATGAATGGAATTGGTAGGACAGGCTATTACTCCCTACACAAGCTCAGTAGGGATTGGCAGGTGCTAATGACTATGGACACAGCAGCATTCAGAGTATAGGTACATATAAGTACAGGACCAGCATTGCCAGATTTTTTTTTTGCCAAGTCAGGGATTTAGGAACTTTTTGAGTGAAAAAAGTGGGACTCTTTCGTCAAAAGGGGACATGGGGAAAAACATATATAATCAAAAGTTTTTGAATATTTACCTTTTTATTCGAGTTCAAATTAAGTTTATATATAAGTAAATAGATAGAGTTACCTAGTAAAAATATCCATAGAAAAAGTATATTAATAATTTACCCTATCGTTAAATAGTTGAGTCTTTGTTTGAGAGTTCTTCATAACGCGTCAGGCAGGCGGCCAGTCCATACTTGTCTGTGCCATCCACCTGCGCTTTACAGTATGCTACATGCATGGTCGAGTTATTCCCAAAAAGCGGGATTGAGCCTGTCCCACTCAGGACATTTAATTTTGTTTTCAAAATCGGGACATCCCGCCAAAATCGAGACATCTGGCAACGTCTGTACAGGACACAACTCCAGTATACCAATAATGTTTTGTATTTTAATTATAATAAGTTTACCCTAATGAAATGGGAGGCAAGTCTCCAGTTTCCTGCAGAGCTTTGAGCCCTTTCATCACATGGTAGCACATTGTGATCTCAACCCATCTCTTTTCTGATTCATCAAATATAACTCCCACCTGTAATACAAAAATACTTGTCATTTACAATACCTACAAGTTTGTATTGATCATCAAGGCTACACATTAAAAACTAAGACTTTTTAAAAATGGAATAACCTTAGTATAAGTATTCTTTAATTATTTTGTTTTAATGATATTTAATATTTCCTGTCTCAGGATGATAATTTGAATACAGTAGTCTTAATCACTAATCCATTAGTATTTTAAAATAAATAAAAAGAGGGTAGATAATGTATCAATTTCATCAAACCTGGTAAGGGAAGGCATAAAATATATCGTCTTTTTGAACACTAAGCAACTGCCTTTGAGATACCGATAGCTGTGATACAGCAGTTTTCAATGAGGCAATAGCATCTTTTTCTACAAGCCCTTCCAAAGCTTTGAAGTCACTTCTTTGTAAGGCATCTGAAACAACCTGACAGAGACAATGAGGAATCAGGTACAAAATTACTCTTTATCATAATATAAAACAAAGAAACAAACCTGAACTGCATGTTTGGAAGCTTCGATAAACTGCGATAAGTTAAATTCTGGCTCAAAATATGGTCGAATTATGAAATTTGCAAACATCCAATTTTTTACAAATTTAATGAACGACGGCCACATTATTGGAGGGAATTCCATTAACGGTGGTAGTTTTCTTGATTCTACGCGTTGTTCGCAATAGGTCCGAAATTGTGTAACAGAACATATTGAGGTTATATTTATTTGTTTCGGTAATGTTTTGTACGAAATTTTTTCACACAATCTAAACGTTTGCCTCGATAACATTTGCCTTATGACTAAATTCATATTTTTTATTTTTGAGATTAAATTATGAAATTATTCTTTCCACAAAATGAATGAAAAGTAAAACATCAAAATAGCTCAACAACATCGACAGAGTACAAAATACACAATATTGTGTCAATGTCACCTTGACATTGGATAGGCAAAGAGTAAAATTATTTGATAGCCATGGACTCACTATTTGAACAGCCGGCCTGGTATTTTTTGACGCGATTTCATCGAGTGCGTTTGGAGTCTTATTTTCATTATTCTTAAATTCGTTCATAGTTGATATTGTGAAATAAAATTGGTGTGATTTTGTGTTACAACCGTCTGCGCAACTGAAGAATAAGTGGAATCTTTAAAATATACGCTATTCCGGTGAAATGGACGTGAGAACTTTATTGTAGTGTTGGCTACCTCACAGAAGCTTGTAGAAAAAGCCAACTCGATACATATCGTCCAAATATTCCAAGAAACATTAGAATGCGCCACACCGACATTCTAATGTAAAAAAAAGATTAATATAATACAGGACTAGGCTGTATAGGCATTGTGCCCTTGTTTTGCCTTTCCTAAAAAGGGAGAATATTTAAAAAAAACAGCCGGCCTATTTGCTAACTTTTTTGACATTTACAGTGGGTTCGATTCTGGCGTTACATTCTCTAAATCTAAACTTAAAATTAGAGAGCTAATTTTAGTTTAGGTTTAGAAAATTGGTATTCTGAAATTGCGAACTATCAAGATTAAGTCTGAACAAACATCAGATTTTTTAATAAAATTAAATTATTAAGATTGAGAGAAAAAACGAACGATTTTTAATAATATTTCTTTATTAAGACTGTGAGAAAAAACATTAATCAGAATCAAGCTCTTTAATTCCACTCATCTCTGCATTACCGCCGGAGTAGTTATGAATAATCATGCAGGTCACATACGAATATGCATCCTATATGTTTTAATCAAGTTTCTCAACGCAACATAAAGTGAATAAAAGTGATATTTGGTTGACGATTAAGGTTACCAACCATTCATAGCCGAAGCTCAATAAATGAAAAAAAAATATGTACCAATATTTGTTATTGTTTGTTTAAAAATATTTGATTTTTATTCTGGAATTAGCTGAGTGCTAAAAAAGTGTTCCGAGTTTTTTTTGCAAACTGTACTTTTCAAGCGACATTCGTCAGATGGAGGTCATTGGCTTTCCTATTCTTATTTGAATCGCGTTATACTGCTAATTTCTAAAACGCCTCCCGGTTTTTAAAAATCGACCTGGAGGCCTACTCTGTTTCAACGAAAAACGAAATTCCGATCGAAATTTCGCACGTTCCTTACTCTGTTTCTATTTAATTTAGAAAATTCGTTCGTCCGAACATAGTTTGACATTTAAATTCCCTAAGCCTTCTATAATTCACAAAACTTTGGAACTAAAAGTTGAATTTGACAGATAATTGTTCGAAATTTTACCTCAAATTGACGGGATTTTTGTTTAAATTAAACCTAAAATTACTACTAGAGTATTTTAATTAAGGCTGCTTACCGTGAGGAACATTTTTTAGTATGAAAAATTTACAAATATGTAAATCTAATTTTTGTTTGTTATTGTATTGCCAATACTTCAAAGTGTTACACGGCTTTAGGTTGACATACATACATTCGTCGGCTAACACTGTCAAAAGAGGTTGTTTTAATGTAATCAAAAATGTTGTCGGTTTTAAAATTTAAAACCTTACTCGGAATTAATCTTCCGTTGAAACCTGTTTGAAGACGTGATAAATAAGATGTTACCTATCGAAGTTCAACAAATCATAGTAATATTGTTTTGAAGTGAAAAACGTTATCTAAAAAGTGCAGACAAAAAGAACTCACAAACATAACTCATTCCTTTCGTTCACGATTATTGTCTGTGATTCCGAACTTTATGTGCATGTTCGAAGATGAAATAGAGTAGAGTCACTGGCGAAATTTCGTTTAAAATTCGTTCGTTGCCGAAATTTCGTTTCGGAGAAAGAGAGTAGAGCTCCTGGTAACACTGGTTCCGTCACTCACTGATAGCGGTGGGCGTTTAAACAAAAAGCGCTTAAATAAGCGCGCTTAAAATATTAAGCTTGTAAGCACGCTTTTAAGTATAAGCGTTATAAGCTTTTCACTTAAAAAGTGTGAGTAAGCTTTTCACTTAAAAAAGTGCAAGTATATTTTTACTTAAAAAGTGCAAATCCCGCCATCTATGTCTTTGCCAGGAAACTACATACTTCGATCCTTCTAGTCCACAGTATCGAAAAATGGGTACGCGGAATTCCTTGGAACTAAATATTTCACAATATCACAGACATAGAACGCACGACTACAGCGCCGCGTCGGCGTGCCATCTTTCGTGAGCCGGTTAATACAGCATGCGAATTATTATAATGCGACCTAAAAAAATGAACTTTTTTAAAATTTGGTGGGATAACCAACGCTTTTTTCGTTAAAAGCGTTTAATTAAACGAAGTCGAAAAGCAGTACGCTTGTCACTGTGACGGGTTAAGAGCGCGTGGGTGTTGTACGGTGTGTTTGCATGCTTGCTTGTGTTAATGCGTTTCGTGTATTGGTTTAATGTGCATATATAATAGTTAAAAGTATGTATATAAAATCAATGAACTTTTAAATACGCCTGGTTCAGGAGTATATTAACTCCAGACAGTCCTTAGCTTGTAAAGTACGAAGGAAAGTTCATTGACTATTATAAAAATGTTTATTATAAAATCTAAATTCAATTGAAAATCTTTCGTTTTTAATGCCAATCAATTCATTAGGTTTAAAAAAACTTTTTAATAAAAATTTCATTAATAAGAAGAAAAAACGCAATAAAACACTTAAACACATTAAAAACGACAATAAACTTTTCACGCTTTTTTAAACGATATACCTAAACGAAAACACAACACAACGTCGCGCTTTTTACGCATGCTTTTAAACGTTTAAGCCAATAAGCGTTTAAACGAAAAAGCTTTTTTTCAAGCGCGCTTATTTTAAAAAGTACAATGTTTAAACGCTTTTAAGAAATAAGCCGTTTTTTCCATCTCTACTCACTGACTCTAAATAAAAAAAAAAACAG